GACCCTGTCACAAGCCACTACCCCTTGCTTGGCTTTTTCTCTTCATCTGGACGGACCACACGTGCGTTGATGGGAATGGCATCAGAAATGACATTGAGTCTTTCTCTGATACCTAGACCTAGGACTTCTGCTGGGAGGGATTCTGCAGATTGTCCACTGGCAGCATGTCGTACATACCGATGGAGATGCGCCACTGGATGCAAAATGGACGAAAAGGATTTAACACTGGAAATGAAGTATTCGAAAGGTACCTGAAATTCTTGGCAACTTATAAATTCTACCTGACGGCTGACGAGACACCCATATCTGATACCGAATATATGGAAGGAGCGTTAGTTTCGTTTGACTCGGTAGACGTGAATGCTTACTCCTTCAAATACGTTCACAGATGGTACAACGCAAAAGATGCGTCGATTTCCTCGCCTTCAGTGCCATCTCAGTCAGCAGATTCTAACGCACCCGGGAGTCGTGGAGGACTGTGCCTGCACGAGCTTGCAGTGTTGGAGACCAATGACTTCAACGCTGACTCTCCACTCCCTTTTTGTGTCTCCTAGTTGCCTCGCATTGGATAATAAATAGATTTACCTTCTTGTCGGCCAACGTTCCTCATAAACGGCCTTCCTGTTCATGGGGGGATATAGAGGAATAAAGGCGAGGGCGTCGACGAAAGATTGTATACAGGGTCAAGAGTACTAGCGTACTGCGCGGAATCCAGGCTTTGGGAATCGTATGTGAGCCACCGGTAGAGGGTCGTATGCGAAGTTTCAATAACGAAAACAAGCGAGCAGTGGCAACCTAAGGGGAGCACAGCCCACGATTTTGTGCCTCGCCATGTACGTGGCATCTCCGTCGAGTTGGAAATTCGTTACGAACTGATTCACCAAGCATATGCATAAAACAGTAGCAAGTCTAGCTCCTCCTAGGCTACGCCAAGGAACCCACCAGCCAACTGGTCGAGACGGTTATGTGGCAACATTAGGTTCATATCCCACATTTCTACAACGCTGCGGTTTTGAATGGAAAACGAGTACGTAGCGCATCTCATAGAGGAGTTTATCAGCGTCGCTAAGCTTCAATCCCTCTGTGAAAGAAATCGAATGCGGAAATTTACTTCCACCATGACAACGCCCGACCTCACACTGCAAAGGCGACCCAGGCCGAGCTGGAGAAGTACGGATGGTCGCCCACCCTCCCTACAGCCCTGACCTCGCTCCTTCTGACTACTGGCTGTTCAGCCACCTGCAGCGCTCTCTGGACGGAAAAAAGTTCGAAACAAAGGATCAGGTCAGAAAGGCACTCGACGACTTCTTCAAGTCCCAGCCCCCGTCGTTCTGGAAGGATGGAATCGACAAGCTGCCTGAGCGCTGGCGTCGAGTAGTTCATGGTGATGGTGCATACCTCTAATCTTCAGGTTGGTTCGCTATTGAGATATTTACGAAAAAGTCGGGGGAACTTATACAACAGCCTAATAATTCCGTTGTGTATCGTGTAGAGCCTTCTCAGAAATTCCTGCTTACTGTTTTGTAAAAGATCGTTTGCCGATGATGTTGTGCACTTTCTAAGAAGGTCTGAAGGTTCAGTGGAAGTTCAGTGGGTTATGCTGCGCTCCGTTCTTACAGCAGCGACGCAACCGCAGATATTGGGCAGATCGACAGCCCGAAAGGGAGGGAAGAGGATCGTATGGACATTTCTTCCCAGAGGAGAGGGGGGGGGGCAGCCAGAGCGGTTCTCTTGGACTTACAATAGCATTGTCCTCTCTGTCCTTACTAATGAGACTTGATGAACGAACGAAGTCAACTTCTGATGTTTTAATGCCGGGCAATTTGTTATGTCACTTGATAAGATTGAAACTGAGGGAGTTGTTGGACAGCATTTACTTGTCGGGTTACTCCTCCATAGAACACCAACGCAATGAACATCAACGGGAAAGATATACTTTATTGTCTGCTGAAGAATCATGGCATTGAATGGAAAATTCAGTTGGATCTTCAAATTTACTGGGTTAAGAATTTCCTAAATACAGTGCTCACTTTGGGCTCATCTAAAACAGCTTGTCCATCGCTCTCTCTTTCTGTGACAAATATAATCACGATCAAATATAAGTTGGAAGGAAAGCCTTGTCACTGTTGTGACTTTTTTTATTTTCTAACTCAACATACAGTGGGAATTAGTCAACAATATACTCGTCATAGTTAGCCACTACAGTGCTCCACCCAATGGACAGGTAAGCATTCCCCTCCTCCCAGAACTGAGAAGGCTGCGAGTAGAGTAAGTCAGCGCCCTCTCGACTGATGTCATCAAAATTGCTGAAAGTTTTCTTAGCTAAGAAAGCCTTAAGGAGGCGGAGCAGGTAGCAGTCGTAGGGGACTACGTCAGGAGAATATTATGAGGGGACTGGTCTTCCAGCCTTGCTCCTCAACTATTTGGTAGGTCTTCATAGCAGGTATGGGGTCCGCGTCCTCACGAACGAGGAGGTGCCTCAAAGCTAGTCGGTAATTTCTCCAACAATTTTCACTCGTTTCGGGAGCTGAGCGACACAAATGGTGGCGGTGATCGTGTGTTCTTACAGGGCAGCTCGTTCTGCAGCATTCCCCTCGCGTCCCAGGAGCAGCACAGGAGAACCTTCTCGGAATACATGCCCGACTGCTAGGAGACTGTTCAAGGGATGCCCGGGTGCACGCCATCGGCCCAAGTATGAGTGATCCATCGAGCCAGTACTTTTTGGTAGTCAAGGGCTTACAGGCGGTGGACGACTGTCAGTTAGGTACATCCGAGTCTTGTCGCAAGACTGCGGGTGGTAGCCTCTGGATCCTCCTTGTCTGCTTCGAGAATGGTGGAGTCTTCCACTTCGTGGGGCCGTCCCAACCGAGGTTTGTCTTCGAGGATCGTGTCTCCTTTCGCGAAGCGAGCGAACCAAAGGTGGACAGTCATGATGGTAGTGGTGTCCTCCGCCAATGCACTGTTGATGTTGCGGACAGCTGCCGTGGCTCCAGTGCCGCGGGGCCACTGATAGAACATGATGATGCAGGAAAGCTCCCAGAGTGTCCTACAAAAGCATAGCATGTTACGACAGCGATAGCCTGAATTAGAGAGTTTCGCAGCTATTTGAACAACAGTTTACTGAGCTCTTTTAAAATGAGCTGATAATGCATGTTGCATAGAAGAAGGCATGTCCCAGGCTGATTATCCCTCTTACAAATGGGAGACGGAATTCAGGACCACGTGACGTACATGGCGAAGCGGAAATTCCGTATTCGTGCAACGCATGGTAGAGCATCGCTATGACACTTGATGACGGTCTTTGTAGTCTGCTGCACGCCACGTGGTCCTATCATCCCACACTCCTTGCAATTGAAGACCCTTCTAGAGGGGTATATTTATCGGATAGCCATGCCACATCAAAATACAAACCTCCTCAATATTAGGAGGCGAGCAGCGACCCCGACCACTGAATATCTTCTCTAAACCAGGAGATTGATTTAGGCATACAAACTCAGCGATCGGCGTCAGTTCGTATCCAGTATCGGAGATGTTTGAAAGTGAGACTCGTGGCGACTTTGATGATGTCTGATAACTTGTTCTTGTGTATGGGAGAGAGAAGATCTTCTTTTCCAATATTTATTGACTACTTTTCGGGCCTAAGCCCTTCTTCAGGTCACTGAATTACACAAACAAGAAATAAGGTCACACGCACAATAATACAGCAGCAACAGTCACAGTCAGTGGCAAGTCTGAAATTAACAACATCGAACAAGAAACAAGTACATTCGGAATATTGTTCATCTGAAAACGATGCAACGAGTGAACACGGAGTGTTGGCTAAGATTACTTGGTTGTCACAGCTTAGCTTGTAAACGACTTCGGCAATCAATCCATCAGAGACTAGGACAAAAATTCAAGCAGCTCGGGGAGCTCGACACTGCCAGCATTCGTGTTTCCAGACTCCATTCCACCACGTCGATGATCACGGACAGTTGGATAGCGATGTACAGGCAATGCTGAATCTGGACCCAAGCTTTTGCCCAAACCAAAATTCTCGAAGAAATTGAAGATGACATAGTTACGACAGTTCACAAATTCTGATATAATCAGAGCTGGAAAGACCAGATGGGATCCATGGTGCCGACGCTTCAAGAAACTCTCCGCAGAGAAATGCCGATCCTCGGGGGATTACTCACAACTGGACCCTGAATTTTTTTTAATGACTACACTGAAACGAGACCTCCTTCGAGTGTACCATCAGCACAGAAGCCTGCAAACTCCTGATGTTGGGTAGAGGCGGCCTCGACCACGGAATAAAGCGTAAGGTGCTATAAGCCAGCGCTTGCGTATAGAGGTATACAAGTTTCAACCTCCCGTAGACGACTCAGCAGGAAGTAACCTGTCGGATATAGAT